CAGGCCGGACACAGTGGGAGGGAGGTGTGGGGAGAGCGGGGCGGCAGAAGAGGGTGAGCAGGGCCAGTGATCATGCTTGACGGGCCATTTGCTAGTACTACGTATAATGGCTTGCAGAAGGAACTGGGTTTTTGCCTGCCATTAGGATTGCCAATCCTTTTTGGGCCACACCTCTGCGGCACCAGGGGACTGTCCGGGACAACCCTGACCAGGGTCTTGCCCAGCCCAGAGCGTGGTTTCTTCGGGCCAGGCTGCTAACTGGTAGCCCTCCCTGGCCCACCACACTAAGTAGACCGGTTCGAGTCGGGCCTTTCTGGCAGCCCGCGAGCAGCAGAGTCCCCGGATGGCGTCCATGGGCAATGCTCCCTTCCAGAGCGCCTGGCCTAGCAGGGAGCTCCCCGGGTTGGGCGGCCACCAACTCTGACGGCGATCCATTTTGAGCGACGGGTACTGGCGCGTCGTTTGGGTTTTGCTCAGGGAGGGCCGGCGGTCCCCTCGTCCCTTGTCATCGCCTTGTTTTAAGGTGCCCTTGGCTAGCCAGGGAGCGGCTTCCTTTAAGTGACAACGCCCGGCTTGAAGCGACCAGACCACGTTTCTGGGTGGTGCTCGGACCCAGATCCACGTGCTCCGGGCTGGCGCTTTGCGCAGAACAGTTCTGAGAGCCGCTCTCAGTGGCACGCCCGCAGCCACACGTGGACTCAGCTTTCACCGAGCCGGTTCGAAGACCTTCAGTTCGAGCACCGCTCTCGCCCTTTTGAAACGTGGGGCCGGGCGGACTGGCAACGTCACAGTTGTCAAGGTCGGGTGTCCGCTGGTGGGTGGATGCGCCGAAAGCGAGTGCCGTGTTGCGTGCAGACATGCCCGGACGTATTTGGGAGGCACCTGGGCAGCGGCGGGGCCTGTTCCGGGATGCTTCTGCGAGGGTTTGGGCCCCCAGGCCCAGCAGGACAGCGGGTCCTTACGGGTAGCCGTGTAAATCGCACCTGCGGACGACGAGTACACTGGCGCCCAGCGCGGCCAAAGCATTCTCCAGACCAGACACAAACCTGGCCGAGGGTGTCCGGAAGAGTCCCCTGGTGCCGCAGAGGCATGGCGCGGGGTGACCCAAAAAGGATCTCTATCCCTAATCTTGGCCCAAACGAAATGCCTTCTTCGAGCCGGCATACCGAGCGCAGCGGGCACAGGGGCGCCGCGGCTAGCAGCGTGGCAGAAAGAAACAGCACTCGGGGTCGGGCAAGGCTCTCATCAGGGATGTCCAGCAATCTCCCGGGGGCACAGAGACGGGGGCTGGGGTGGCCCGAGAAGGATTTCTCGGGATCGTCCCAGCCCACGTTCCGGTGCCTTCTTCGGGTCCGGAGACTTAGCGCGGGGGCCGGGGCGGCGTCAGGGGGCAGCCCGACATGGCCACGCCGTGCTTTGGCCCAGGCAAGTCTCTGGCCAGAGATCTCATAGTTTCCTAGTTGGTCGGGTCGGAAGGGACCCGAGCAGATCAGCGAGTCCGGCCCCCTGCCACGGCAGGAAAGAGCACTGGGGTCAAACAACCCCGGCAACGTGTTCGTCCAGCCTCCTCTTAAAGACCCCCAGGGTAGGAGCCCACACCACTTCACTTGGAAGTTGGCTCCAGGTCCTAGCTGCCCTGACAGTGAAGTAGCGCCTCCTGATGTCTAGTCTGAATCTACCCTCTGCCAGCTTGTGACCGTTATTTCTAGTCACTCCTGATAGTGCTCAGGGGAACAGGGACTTCCCCAATGCCTGCTGGTCCCCCCTGACCAGTTGGTAAACGGCCACCAGATCCCCCCTCAGCCTTCTCTTGCAGAGGCCGACCAGGTTCAGGTCCCGTAGCCTCTCCTTGTAGGGCCTGCCCTGCTGACCCCTACCCATGTGAGTGGCCCTCCTCTGGACCCTCTCCATGTTGTCCACATCCCTCCTGAAGTGCAGCACCCAGAACCAGACGCAGCACTCCACCTGCGGCCTGACCGGTGCCGCATAGAGGGGGAGGATCGCCTCCTCGGACCTGCTCGAGATGCGCCTGTGGATGCACGACAAGGTGTGGTCGGCCTTCCTGCCCGCGTCCCCACGCTGTCAGCCCACGTTCCTTTTGGCCTCAATAATGACTCCGAGATCCTTTTCTGCCTCTGCGCTGACAAGAAGGCCGTTCCCCAGCCTGTAGGTCTGCTGCCGGTTCTTCCTCCCCAGGTGCAGCACCTTGCGCTTGTCACAGTTGAAACCCATCCTGTTCCCATCTGCCCACTCCTGTAACCTGTCCAGGTCCGATTGCAGCCTATTCCTCCCTTCTAGTGCACCCACATCCCCCCACATCTTAGCGTCATCTGTGCATTTGAACAGGGTGCTTTTCACCCCCTCGTCCAAGTCGCCGATGAAGATGTTGAACAGCGCGAGCCCGAGAACCAAGCCTTGGGGGACCCCACTGCCCACATCCCTCCTGGTCGAAAATGACCCATCCACCACCACTCTCTGGGTGCGGCCGTCCAGCCAGTTAGCAACCCATCTGACCGTGTAGCCGTTGGTGCCACAGTCCCCTAGTGTTTTAATGAGAATGGGGTGAGAGAGAGCATGAAAGGCCTTCCTGAAGTCCAGAAAGACTATGTCCACCGCGACCCCTGCGTCCAAGGCTTTGGTGCCCTGGTCGTAGAAGGCCACCAGGTTGGTCTGACGGGACCCGCCTCAAATGAACCCGTGTTGGTTGCCCCCGAGCATAACCTCCCCTGCTGGCCCTCACGTCCAGGAGAGTCCCGCGGCGGCGCCGAGACGTGGGCTGGGATGGCCCGAGAAGGACTTTGAGCTGTCATCCCGGCCCAAATTCCAGTTCCTTCTTCAGGTCTGGATACTTAGCTCGGCGGCCCGGCACAGCCAAGCCGCGCCTTGGCCCAGGCAAGCATCTGGCCAGAGGTGTCCGGGAGAGTCCCCCGGCAGCACCGAGCTCTGCCACGGGGTGGGCCCATGAGGGCGTCTAGCTAGAACGCTGGCCCAAATGCCACATCCTGATTCGGGTCCAGGGACTTTGCGCAGAGGCCGGGGGGCTGTCTGCAGGCACCCCGGCACGGCCGAGCTGCGCTTTGTGCCAGGCGGGACCATGTTCTGGGTTCTTTGGGACGGTCCGCCACCGGCCTCGACACAAAGTCTGGGGCAGCCCGACAAGGGTTCTGTTCCACCGTCCCATCCTAAACCGACCTTCATTTCGGGC